TGTGCCACCAGGGGGAGCTGATGTTGAAGAAAGTGTCCGACCAGACAGACAGGGACATGATCCAGGAGCCGCTCACCGAGCTGCGCCACCTCTGGGAGAACCTGGGTGATAAAATTACCCAGAGACAGGTAATGAAACCAAGTCCCCCCCCCCCTCCTCCTCTGAGAAACACACTGAGACTTTCACTGAGCCATTATCTCTGTTGGTGTTCTGCAGGACTGCGTGTATCTGACAGCTGCTTCTCATTACAGGCAAAATATTCGAGCTCCTATTTTTAATCCCACTCTTCTGTCTTTTTCCCACCACAGCACAAGCTGGAGGCTGCCCTGCTGGCTCTGGGTCAGTTCCAGCACGCCCTGTCTGAGCTGCAGGCCTGGCTGAGCCACACACACACCACCCTGGACACACAGCGACCAGTCAGCTCTGACCCCAAGGCCATCGAGATCGAGCTGGCCAAACACCACGTACGTCTAGATTCTAAATACAAACTGGAAAAACTGAGGCTTCTCTGTTTTTTTTTTTTCCCCAACTCTTATTCTTCTTGATCATGTTTTATTTTAAGGCTGGTTCTTTAAAAGGGGATTTTCGCAATCAACTTATTTTAACCTCCAAAATCTTCTCTTCAGCTTTGCTCCTGCGTATAATCTACTACTCGTAATAAACGTCCTCCTCCCTCCTCTCTGTCCCAGGTTTTGCGTAATGATGTGCTGTCCCATCACGCCACGGTGGAGAACGTGACCTGCGCTGCCACTGAGCTGCTGGAGTCCTCGCCCGGCGATGAGGCCAGTCACCTGAGGGATCAGCTGGAAAAGCTCAACCAGAGCTGGGAGAGCCTCCTGCTCAAGACACAGGAGCGGCAGAAACTACTGGAGGCTGCGCTGCAGCAGGTACTCTCCCAGTGTTAAAGTGATTTTACAATATTCACCCTTTGTCCAGTTCCACGTCAAAATGTTGAGGTCTTTCTTGGCCCATGTTCAATCCTTCCACGGAGTTAAAAAATAAAATGTACATGTGGTAGTTTTTGCTGAATCCTGAAACAAACAAACAAATGGACAATGGCAAAACTAAAGCAAAGGTGATATGTATGATTAAAAGATGTTTTGACTGCATTATTAAATAAAAGATAAAAATAGGAATCCGATCACAAGCTCCTGCTGTGCTATTTTAGTGAATTTTAAGGGTGCGGCTAAGAGTTCATTCTTATCTTCTTCTCCCGCAGGCTGAAGGTTTCCACGGTGAGTTGGAGGAGTTCCTCCAGTGGCTGAGGAGGACGGAGAGCCAGCTGTCTGCCGCCAAACCGACAGGCGGTCTGCCCGAGACGTCCAGGGAGCAGCTCCAGCAACACATGGTACCAGAGCATCACATTACACCTCTGCACACAGTGTCAGGAACAATAGACACGGAGAGACGCACAATACACATGCAGGGAGGGAAACGTTTTCACCAGTTATAATGTGTGAGAATCACGAGTTAAATGGTTCCTGTCATTAATCACAAACTTCTGTAAAGCTGCCGACTGTAAACAGCTGATTAAGTGTCCAGACAACGTATTTTAAAACGTCATTAACAGCTTTTAAGAGAACATAAAAGTTTTTACGAGCAAAGTTTGAGGAAAGCTCTCGTAGAGCGGAGTATTAGCTTGCACACGCTCATCTGTTTGAACGGAGACACTTGACATATGGTGACTATGAAAGTTTAATGGCGACTATTGTTCCCCACTGACACGCACCGACTCGTCTCTTCTGTCTCCAGGAGCTTCAGGCTCAGCTGACTCAGCGAGGGGACCAGTACCATCGCCTGCTGGATCAGGGGGAGTCTATGCTGCTGGCCCGAGGAGGAGAGGACGCAGGACCCGGTACCACCCAGACCCAGCAGAACCTGGCCATGCTGCAGAACAAGTGGGGCAGCCTCAACACCAAGATGGAGGACCGCAGGGTGAGACTGACACCTCTTCTTGTTTTCCTCTTCCCTTATCCGTTCTTTTCTGTTCTGGCGTTTTTATTGTCGGTCGATTTTGAACTTAACTGAATTTTGTTTGACAGGGAAAACTGGAGGAGGCTGTTTCCTTGGCAACAGGTTTCCAGACGTCCTTGCAGGACACCATCAACTGGCTGACCCAGGCTGAGCAGACCCTGAACATGGCACAGCCCCCGAGCCTCATCCTGGACACTGTCCTCTTCCAGATCGATGAGCACAAGGTAGATTCTCGGTATAATCCAGGAAGTAGTCAGTATTTACTTCTCTCTCTCGCTCACTCGCAGCTGGTGTTCATATGTATTTACTGCCCCTGACCCATTCTCCACGTCTCTCGTGTGCGTCCAGGTATTTGTGAACGAGGTGAACACCCACAGAGAGCAGGTCCTGGCCCTGGAGAAAGCCGGCTCTCAGCTTCGCTTCGCCAGCCTGAAGCAGGATGTGGTGCTCATCAAAAACCTGCTGCTCAGCGTCCAGGCGCGCTGGGACAAGCTGGTGCAGAGGTCACTGGACCGCGGCCGACACCTGGATGAGGCCCGCAAACGAGCCAAACAGGTATGAAACAGATAGTTTCACAGACAGGGAAGAGACGTGTGTGTGTGTGTGTGTGAATGGGGTTAATGTGACTTTGTAAAACTTTCTTTAGTTCCACGAGGCGTGGAGGAAGCTGACTGACTGGCTGGAAGAAGCTGAGAAAAGACTGGACTCAGAGCTGGAGATCTCCAACGAGCCGGACAAGATCAAAATACAACTGACCAAACACAAGGTACTGTTGTTCGGGTGTATAGATATTTACAAAAAGGTTTTTCTGTTTTTCTAAAATCGGTTTCCTTTGCGTACACACACACAGGAGTTTCAGAAAGCTCTGGGCTCAAAGCAGCCAGTCTACGACACCACAGTGAGGTCTGGGAAGGCCATGAGGGACAAGGCTCAGCTGCCTGCAGACACCCAGAGACTGGATCACCTGGTGGGAGAGGTGCGAGACAAGTGGGACACCGTCTGCGGAAAGAGCGTGGAGAGGTAAAGAAGATCCCCTCGCTCATTAAAGCTCCGAACGAGCATCACACGATAATTAATCTTCCCTCGTCTCTGCTCCATCCAGACAACACAAGCTGGAGGAAGCCCTGCTGTTCTCAGGTCAGTTTGCGGAGGCTCTCCAGGCTCTTGTTGACTGGCTGTACCGAGTCGAACCTCAGCTGGCTGAAGATCAGCCCGTCCACGGAGACCTGGATCTCGTGTCCAACCTCATGGACTCACATAAGGTGTGTGCACTAAACAGAGCTGATCGTGAACCGCCTCCTGCAGCGCTCCTCATAACGCTGTCCAATGTCTCGACCTCCAGAGTTTCCAGAAAGAGCTGGGGAAGAGAACTGGCAACATTCAGGCTCTGAGGCGTTCGGCTCGGGATCTGATAGAGACGGGTCGCGATGACACGGCCTGGGTCAAAGTTCAGCTGCAGGAGCTGAGCAACCGCTGGGATACAGTGTGTGCCCTGTCAGTCACCAAGCAGACCCGCCTCCAGCTGGCGCTCAAACAGGTCAGAGAAGAAGCTGCGGTGTCAAAGTTGAAACCTCAACATTCAGTCATCATCCAATAACACACGTGTCCCTCTCTTCTTCTTCTTCTCCTCCATCAGGCGGAGGAGTTCCGTACGGCGGTGCAGGTGCTCCTGGAGTGGCTCTCAGAGGCGGAGCAGACGCTTCGTTTCCGCGGCGTCCTTCCGGAGGAGGCGGAGACTCTGCAGGCGTTGCTGCACACCCATCGTGACTTCATGGGCACCGTGGAGGAGAAGAGGGGGGACGTCAACAAGGCTGCTGGCATGGGAGAGTCCATCCTGACTCTGTGTCACCCAGACTCCATCACCACCATCAAACACTGGATCACCATCATCAGGGCGCGTTTTGAGGAGGTGAGGGGGGGGAGAATTCTGTTTCCTGTCCCTCTTTGTTTGAAAACTAATAGATTATTGATTTCCTCCGGTAATCAACGCTTCACTTCTCTCTCCAGGTGCTGACGTGGGCTAAACAGCACGAGCAGCGGCTGGAGACGGCTCTGACCGAAGTGCTGAACAACGCCAACCTGCTGGAGGAGCTGTTGTCATGGCTACAGTGGGCCGAGACCACGTTGGTCCAGAGAGACGCAGACTCGCTTCCTCAGGACATCGCACAACTCAAATCGCTCATCACAGAGCATCAGGTGGGTTTTTTTTCATGAATCCTCAGATTCGTTTTAAAAGACTGCGTTCGTACCGTTCGTCAACATCACGGGAATGTTTGTTGCTCTCAGACGTTCATGGAGGAGATGACGAGGAAGCAGCCGGACGTGGACAAAGTGACAAAGACGTACAAAAGAAAACCAGCGGAGCCTCACAGCAGCCTGTCGGAGAGGAGAGGAGCTCGTACGTCAGCCCGTGTTTGTCCTCTTGTCGTACAAATTTTATCATCCCCTGCTTCTTTTAAACAACACGGGCTCGTGTGTTGGAAACAGATGACTCACTCACTCAGCGTCACTTTTTTTAAATCTCTTGTAACCTCTACAGGCAAACAGCAGCAGCAGCAGCAGCAGCAGCAGCAGGCAGCCATGCAGCTTTCAGGAGGAAACCCCAGACTCAACCAGCTCTGTGCCCGGTGGCAGCAAGTGTGGCTGCTGGCTCTCGACCGTCAGCGCAAACTCAACGATGCACTGGACCGACTGGAGGAGGTACTTTTGTTATTCGTACAATAAAATAGAGTTTTAAAAAAAAAAACATGTGGAATTCTGGGTGAAAGCCTATAATTAAGTTTACCAATCTGGACTTTCTGTATATTGTATTTAGCGTTTTGTGTTTTGACATGAAACATCCCACTTTTATCATTTCCAGCTCAAGGAGTTCGCCAACTTTGACTTCGACGTGTGGAGGAAGAAGTACATGCGCTGGATGAACCATAAGAAGTCTCGCGTCATGGATTTCTTCAGACGCATCGACAAGGACCAAGATGGAAAGATCACGCGGCAGGAGTTTATCGACGGGATCCTGGCCTCAAGTGAGTGATGAGGGATCGTTTGGGCGGTTTGTTGTTTATTTCGATGTCTGGGTTTATTCTGTTTCTTATTCTGGATTCTCGTTTTGCTTCTGTGCAGAGTTTCCCACCAGTAAGCTGGAGATGACCGCAGTGGCCGACATCTTCGACAGAGATGGAGACGGTTACATCGACTACTACGAGTTTGTCGCTGCTCTTCACCCCAACAAAGACGCGTACAGACCGACCACTGACGCAGACAAGATCGAGGATGAGGTATGAGACAACTCGACAGCGTCAGGCTCGATAGGTGGAATGAGGAGATGCGCTCACTGACACATTTTGTCTGTGGTCGTGCAGGTGACTCGTCAGGTGGCTCAGTGTAAATGTGCCAAGAGGTTCCAGGTGGAGCAGATCGGAGAAAACAAATACCGGGTACGTTTGTCCAGTTCTCTTTTCGAGTTTAAATATAGAGAATAGATATCAAACTGTAATTTAACTTTAGCAAAGGACGGTTAATGTATGTTGATCTGAAATGATATTTACTTTAAACAGATTTGGGTCAAAAACGGTTTTGCAAATAGTCGATTACATTTGAAGTCGACATCATCAGATCTGTTCTGAAGCTTTAGATGTTTGTAACATTCTCATCAAGTTCAAGATTTAGATTCTGAGTTTTATTGTTAAACATAACTTTGTAAACACGGTTTGACCCGGCTCTCATTATTATTAACAACTTCCACTTAACTTCACAGCATTTGAATGTTTCCATCTCACATCACATCATCGTCCTGTGATTATTAATGTTTCTGTATCATAACAAGTAATAACATGTTCATAACATGTTCATAACATGTTCACAGAGCTCCAGGATTTTCAGCTGAGTCGTCTTTGTCATCAACACATTAACATCAGCGTGTGAATGTGACTGCGTAGATACTCACTGAGCTGCTGGGTAACTGAGTCCAAACCAGGGTCTATAGATGAAACAAAAACATAACCTCCGTGGTGAAGTTAATAATATTAACGTAAAAAACCACGAGGGAGGGAAAACTACATGTTTATGTTTCGTCGACTGAAAAAAATAAAATCAAGTTACTAAAGACAAACCCTGTTTAAAACCTTAACTCCAGCAGCCGGAGTATCTGTGCATTATTTTACTGAAGCTGTTAAACACAGTTTTCAACAGCTTCTAATGGATCGGCCATCACTTCCTGTGTGTGTGTGTGTGTCTATGCGTGTGTGTGTGTGTGTGTGTATGTGTCTGTCTGTTTGTGTGTGTGTCCATCATTATCCACTGGGTAATGAATCCTAGCGTCCAGCTACAGGACACTGGGGACGCTGATCTGTCTGTGTCTGCGTCTGGCTTCACTTTCTTCAGTCTCACTGTCGTCACCTCGTCTTCATCAGCCTGAAGCGTCACACCGACATTATCACACCGTGTTGTCATAACAACCACACACTCACCTCTACTGCATCTTTCTTCTCACGCCACTAATTCTCCAATAACAGAAAAACACACCGTTTCAAAGTTTTTACGAGATCTTGTTCACGAAGTAAAGATTTATTCTCTCACACATTAGAAAATCTCCGGTTGTCTCCAGTACATGTTGTTTCACTCCTGCTCTGTTTCTGTCTCCTTGTGCTCCTCTGCTCCGTGTCTGCCGGATTTATTGTAGTTCTTCCTCGGAAACCAGGTAAAGTGACTGCCGCTGCTGCGACTGGATGCGAGAGATCTGCTTCACGGTTCACCACCAAATGGAGCGCTGCTCTTTCTGCCGTCGCACATTTAAAAAAAAAAACAAAAGTTGTTCGTGTAATAAATGAAGTTATTCAAAGAAAACAACAGGAGAAGAAGCGCTCCATCGTGGCTTCGCAACGTGAAGCAGGTTTCTCCGTCTGACTTGTGTTCCTGCTGTGATTTGTTGGGTGTTGAAAGTGACAAATTGCACATTGTGAAGCAGGCGACAGGGACATGGCTGAGGTGGTAATTAGTGGTGAGGTGATTTGTGCTTTGGACTGAGGCTGGAGAGCAAATCAAGCTGCTTGGAGAGAGATTCAGAAAATTCCTTCTGTGCTGGTATCGCTTTGGAACTTCTGCTTTGACAGACTTGAACGTAGCGATGTTAGTGTTTTCTGCTGTGAAACGATCGTGCTTAGGTTTCAGCCGCTGGGATAACTGGGATTGTCAGTGCATGTTTTTTTTTTTCTCTCATTGCATGAAGTAGAATGTCGTTCGTTCAGATTTGGTTTGTTTGGTTTGATTCTGCAAATGATTTGAAACTCATCCGTCAATATGTCAACGACTATTTTACTCACTAAGTTTGTCCTCTTTTTTTCTGATTCCCTCGTTCCTGCTCTTCTACTTTTCTCTCTCTCCCTCTCATTTCTTTCTCACTCCTTCGCTCCTTCTTTGGTCTTTGTGGGTATTTTTTTTTGTCTCTTCAGTTTGGCGACTCTCAGCAGCTGCGTCTGGTCAGGATTCTGCGCAGCACGGTGATGGTGAGAGTCGGAGGCGGTTGGATGGCTCTGGACGAGTTTCTGGTCAAAAATGATCCATGCAGAGGTGAGTGATGTGCACACACACACACACACACACACACACACACACACACACACACACACACACACACACACACACACACACACACATTCATAACCTCGTCAACCTCGTCCGTCTCACTCCTTTTTTTTTTACATACACAACATGAGAAAAGAAACAACTATAAAACCAGTACTTCAACTCTCTGTGCTTCACAAACACAATCAATCTTTAAGGACGTCACACAACGAGGACTTGAACTCACACAAACACACAGTCTCACTTCACACCACGAGACTCCTGCACTGATCTCAGATCAGGAGTCAGAGAGGACGTCTGTCTGTCAGCAGGTGAAGCAGGAACCTGTTGCTCCGTCTCACTTCTCTCTCTCTCTCCAGTGTTTCTTTCCAGTGACGTCTACACTCGGTGTGTTTGTCGGGCTCCTCCGAGCGGTCTCTCTCTCTCTCTCTCTCTCTCTCTCTCTCTCTCCCTCTCTCTCCATCTCTCTTCCCCCAAAATCTCCCACACACCCTCCCCCCAAAACATCTCTGGTTGTCCTGAAGGAACTTGTCATCTCATCATCTCACGTTTTATTTCTGTATATTCACGGCCTCTCCTCCGTCTCTATCCTGTCTTATTTTATTTTCCACTTTCTCTTTAAGTATAACAGTCGTATTGCATGATCCTCAGTTCTCTCCTCTTCCTTCCCTTCTCTTTTTCCCTCCCTTCCTTTTTCTCTTTTCTCCAGTGCAACATCCAGGACTTAAGATTCTCCGCTCCGACTCCAGTAGCTCCATCTCATCTCGTATAGGTTGGATTTCTCCTCTTCCTCTCTCACTCTCTTCTAACTCGTCCTCTCTCCTCCGTCCTGTTTGTTTTTGCTCTGTTTCTCTTTCACGACCTTCTTCTCTCTTCTTCTTGTTTTTTTTTTCCTCTCGTCATCTTTCCTCTAACTCTTCCTCCTGTTTTTTTTCTGGCCGTGTCGCTGTGCCTTGCTGACTGTGATCACCTGACTAACGTTATGTCTCCCACACTGTTCTTGCTCTCCCCCTCTCCTGACCTCCCGCCCTCCTGGCTGTCGTGCTCACGCAAGCTCTTGACGTGTTCACGTTTTCTTTAAAAAAAAAAAAAACACGCTACAGGGGTCGCTCACACTCGTCTGGACCCTGAGAGGTCGACTGTATGTGTGTGTTCATGGTCTCTGTGTGTGTTTGTGTGTGTGATGGAGGAATTTTTAACAAATTTGTTCGCATTGTTCGACGCCAGAAACTGTGTGTGTGTGAGACTTTCTTCATTCCACCATGAGCATGCAGGGTTTTCACGTTGTCTCTTGTGTCTCTTAGTGACAGTCACTCCTGGCTATTTCTGCTGCCGAGGTATCTACACTTCGTCTTTGTCTCTCACTCCATTCTTCCATCTCTTCATCCGTCCATCCACGCGTCCAGCTGTCAGTCTCCATCCTTAACCACAGCTGTCCTCTGTGTGTCTATATATGTGTGTGTGTGTGTGTGTGTGTATAGTTTCTAACTGTGGTCAGGTTTGTGTGTACAGGCACTGACGTCAGTCTTGTCTCGTGCCATGTTTGCGTCATGCTTCCTTCACTCACAATAAAAGCAGGAACTGGCCAACCCTTGGTCTTTTTTATATTTTATTTTATTCTATTTTCTCAATACGTACTTTTATTTCCAATTCTGAAAATGAGACAGTCGCATTTTTACAAGTCAGATTATAAAGTTTGAATAAGATGCTCAGAACAAACCAAAACTGAATTTGTAAAACTTCTAAATCTGAATCTGAGTAAAGTGAGTGTGTAAGACCTGGGCGTGGCCAGCCTGGGTTTCTAATAACGCTGGCTTCCAACGCAGCTCCTTTAAATGCGACGGCTGGTTGGTGGGAGACACAATTACAGGGTGCACCTGACTGTCTGGCGTTGAGGGGGGACGTAATTGCAGGGTGCACCCATTAAATTGACTGGCCTCGCTGTTTGGTTGCAAAGGACGATGGTTGTGAGGAGTTGTGCTGCAGCTCTCTCTCTTCTTATTGCTCTGTTTTTACAGCATATCTTTCATCTTGTTTCTCCTCCATCTCTCTCTCTCTCTCTCTCTCTCTCTCTCTCTCTCTCTCTCTCTCTCTCTCTCTCTCTCTCTCTCTCTCTCTCTCTCTGTGGCTGGCTTCTCCCGGCTTCTTGTTGTCTGCTGGGGCTGCTGCACTTCTTTCTGTGCGAGAATGCTGCTGAGTGTCTTTTAGAGGAGGGAGAAATTCTGAATCTCTCCCGATGAGCATAAACCAGGCATGACACCCCCCCCCCMCCACCCCCCYACCCMCSTATATATATATATATTTATATATACATACATGCTGCGGAGCTGAGCCGCTCCTTCACAGCCAGAGGAGAACATGAACTGGAGAGCATGTTGAAAAACTAGAGAAGAGAGGCCGTGCTTTTGCTCCCACCGAACCTCAGAGGATTTAAAAACGGATACGCAATTAAAGTGTGTGCGTCACTCAGTGAAAAGAGTTTTTCACAAAACTGGAGACACTGGTCTTTGCTTAAAGGACGATTTTTTTTTGTTCTAGTTTGATGTTTGGTTGAGAATTAGATGACAAGATTTATACCACACCTCTGAAATCTTGATATGAAGCCACAGGCAGGAGCTAATCATCGTAGCTTAGCATAAAGACGAGAATGTACAGGCCTCAAATTCCCAATAATAATTTTAATCCGTCCAAAAACCAACAGGGGAAAAGTTTTTCACTTTCTTTCAGAGAAGAAGTCAATTATACATCCAACAATATTGTTTTCTTCAACAAGGCAGACTATCTATGATATAAAGTATAGAGTTATAGAAATATTTTCAGATGACTGACAGGACAGGGGCTCTTCTGGGGCCAGTGCCCCCCCTGGATCCACCCCTGGGTTTTGCCCTGTTCCAGTCTTTATGCTAAGCTAAGCTAAATGTCTGCCTGCCCGAGCCGGGTATCAAACTTCTCATCTGACTCTCGGCAGAAAAGCAAAGTTTCCCCTTTAAAGACACAATCAGCATTTTTATTAGTTTTCTCTGAACCGGGAAACGAGCTGAAGTGTTAGTGAACAGATTTTTCTGCAGCTGTGGTTGTGTTTCTCCAACTCGCTGACTTTTGTTGCGTATCAGAGTTGGTGTGTTTCCACTCACACTCACCTCTCCCTTTAAAAAAAATAAAAAATAAAACGACTCTACCAAGGTGCACTTATAACTTCCTGAACCCTAAACCTCCATCCGCTCCGCTCACGTGCACTCTCAAATGAATCATGCACGGACTGATGTCTGCAGCCAAGGAAGCACTGACTCTCTCCCTCACGCTGCTCGCTGCCTCTGCCGCCCCCTGCTGGAGGAAAACTTTGAGCCGACACACAACTAATTTGTCTCTCCCTCTCTCTCCCTCTCTCTCTCTCTCGTCCTCTCTCCAGCTCGTGGGCGAACCAACCTGGAGCTGAGGGAGAAGTTCATCCTTCCTGAAGGAGCGTCTCAGGGCCTGGCCGCCTTCCGCTCCCGGGGACGACGCTCGAAGCCGGGCTCCAGAAACGCCTCCCCCACCCGCTCCTCCTCCTCTGCCTCCCACAGCGGCGCCTCCCTCCCCTCTGCTCCCTCCACCCCTGCCACACCGACGGCCTCCGCGTCCTCCAGGGTGAGATGATTTCAGACATCAGATCTGATTCAGACATCGTGTAGAGATCTGTGTTGTGAATCTTTACTGTCGGTATGTGTGTGTCTGTGAGTGCGTGTGGGTGAATGTGTGTTTTTATGTTTCACATTGTTCACTTGTTGTCATCCTCCTGTTGTTGTCAAATATCACCACATCCTTAACTGTGAATTTTTATTTTTTGTTCTTTGTTTCTTTGTGTTTTTCTTTCTTTCCTCTCGTTCCTCTCGCTCCTCTCGCTCCACCCTGCTAACCCGGCTTCAAAACGTCCTTCCTGCATTGATGGGTTTTCTGTTCAAATAAAAAATCATCTGCTCTCACACAAACACACACACTGCGCTGCACTCCCTCGCTATCAAACCCCTCCTTCCCTCCTCCTCCCTTCATCTGCTTCTCTCCTATGCTGCTTTGCTCTCCTCCTCCACCCTTCCTTCCTTCCTTCCTTCCTTCCTTCCTTCCTTGCTCCCTTCCCTTCCTCCCTTCAGTCCTCCCATACTCACTCGCGTGACTATGCCAAGCCCTGGCTGGCTCACAGTAAAACTCCAACGCCAACCAAGTGCCACTGCTGCCCAGATCTGGGTCTCGGCCACACCACTCCTGGGCACGAGGTAACACACTCACCCCGATCACCCACCCACCCAATCACCCACCCACCCACCCACCCACCTCCCTGTCCCACCCCAATGAACGCGCTAATGCACTAACTCCAACTCATGTAAAGTTTTACTTCAGCTGATAGTGTGTGAAAACCTTGAAACTGGACGTTTCAAGTTTGAATTTTTCACAATGTGACATTTTAAAGAAAGAAGGTTTTAATTCAGGGTGAAAAAATTATTAAAGTTAAATTATTTATTTATTTACAGATTCTGCAAATCACACTGAGAGACCTTTTCTTTTTTCACTTTTATCAGCTGTTTAATGATGCGTAAGATTAATTATTTGATTAATCGATTCGTTCGACAGAAATTAATTCCCTACTTCTTTCGTAATTCTTAAATAATCATAAGTGAAATATTTGAAGTTTTAATTTTTGCTGCTTTAATTTGAAATTGAATGATAATTAATCAATATTATTAATAAACAATTTAATCAATAATGAAAATGTTTAAGTTGCAGCCGCAGATTTTGTTGTAGATTAAATTCATGTGATATTCAGATCTAATCTGAATTCAGAATTTAATTTAAAATGTCTCTTTGTGTTTAGCTTTAATTTGTGTGTTGAATATTTGTGTGTAGGTCTGTTTCTTTGTCCCGTGTCCATGTTGAAGTTGTGTCCATAGTGTCTGTGTCAACAGTGTAAATGTTAAGCTCGGCTCCACTGTGGAGTCATCCTCAGCTGATGTGTCCCGGTTGCTCCTGCAGGGGGCGGCGTCGGGATCCAAACTGAAGAGGCCGACCTTCCACTCGAGCCGCGGATCGTTGACCGGAGAGAACGGAGGAACGACACACGGCTGCAAACCAGGACGATCCGGTGAGACACCACATTTATACTTTATATGTTTGGTCCCGTCAAAGAAAAATAAAATGTTTTTGGATCGAAGGTAATCTGCAGCTACGCTAGCAACGATTTGCGAAAGGTTAGGCTAACTTAATGAATCAACTATTTATCCTGAAGGGGGCGCCAGATCTCAAGATAATCCATTTAATAGATGTCAAGATATTTATCTAACAATACACAATGTTCGCCTCATGGTGGCGCAAGACTCAGACTTAGATGTTCCACTGGTTTGTGTGAAAACTTTGACCTGCTGGTGGCGCTAGAAGAAAAGTTAGTGATTCCTCCTCCTTCCTCTTCATGGTTTCAGATCCAAAGCGAGGTGCCAGTGGTCCGACCAGCCGAGCCGGCAGCCGGGCGGGCAGCCGAGCCAGCAGTCGGCGCGGCAGTGATGCCTCGGACGCATCCGAGCTCCAGGACGCTCGCTCCGTCTGCTCCGACACCTCAGACACCCCGAGACGACCCGGCAGCGGCGCCAAACCCTCCAAGATCCCCACCATCTCCAAGAAGACCCCCAGCCCAAAGACCCCGGGGTCTGCAAAGAAATAACAGCAGGGAAAAGAAAAACTGGATTACACCCCCGTCACAGAGGGTGGACTGCTGTCATCGGCCATCTTGGGTTCACCCGCTCTTCCACATCCATCCGTGGGGCTTGTTTTGAATCTCTGCACTTTGACTGACATCAGGAGAAAGGAGGAGACGGAGGAGACGTTCTTCTCTTTCTTTCCCCGTTCTGAGAACCATGTCTGAAAATAAGAACCAAGAGGAAAAAGGTTCTGGTCTGACGTCTCAGTCCAGAGTCTGTGGGGGCCAAACCCACTTTCCCTCTAAGAAGCGACTCCAGTTTGCCTTCCAGTCTCCTGCTTCCTCTTCCATGACTTCCCCACCAGCGTGGAATCGAACACCGACTGACATGACGTGATGCTGCCTTACTTTCACACTTGTATCCCGCTCATACAGAGCGACACAGAAAGTCTTTAAACTGCTTTACACCACACTGACACACAGATACACACATTGTAACTCAGAGGCGGGGCAGGGAGCGGGACACACCACCGCCACCACCACCACCGCCGCCACCACCGCCACGGCTATGAAAACAAAGAGGAGCTCAAATGTCCTTCAGGAAAAAAGAGAAGAATTGTGGGTTATTATTTTGGCTTGTGGGCCAGATGCCTCAGCGATGAGTTAAAAAAGAAAATATGCAACGACCGCCCTGTCGCTTCCTCTGGCGAGAAAAAGCGTCACCTCAGCAGATGGGAAGCAAACCACATGTGGGGAGCTCAGGAGGTGGGAAACACACACCGGGCCGACCTCAGGCTCGGAGGATCGGTGGCGGTGGCGGTGGTGATGACGGTGGCGGTGCTGCTACAGCTGAGGGCAAACAATCGCACACTCAAACACCGCAGAGCTGACTCCTCCCGACCGCTGGAACGTTAAATCCGGACCCGTGTGTGCATCTCAGCGAAGGGCGGCGTGGTTCAGTCGCACGTCGATGCAACGATCTGACGCAAAAATCACAAACTGGCAATAGAAGGACTGTTTCCAAGGAGACAAACTCATCTAACAGCACATTAACCCGTGTTCACGGACTTCAACTACCAGCATGCACTAGTCGTCTCTTCCTCTGCAGTTCCACCTTAATGTCCACACTGCGTTGCCCTTAGCAACCCAGCTGCACACACACACACACACACACACACACGTTAAGGGATGTGCGTCACGTGTGTCTTTGTTAAATAACTACGAGAGGTCATTGACTCGAGTCGCTGTATGCAAACATTTTAATTTGCGAATGTCCTTTTTCTCCTGGTTGTTTTCTGGTTAATTTATAATCCAGTTGTATTTTTGTTTTCTAGCTTGAGAGAAGAATCTATTTATTTTTCAGTTTCATGTCATATCGGCGTCGGCGAAAAGAGCGATGGTGAAAGAATTTATGATTTTTGTACCGAGGAAAAGATTCACTCCGCTCCGACCTTATTTGTGTGTGTTTCTACGTCATTGTGACGTCGCACCGATCACTAGGTCTCTGACTCTAGTGGACGCCTTGTCTGTTATTTTTACTTGTTCGCTAACGACGATAATTCCCAGACCACGACCAAAGGGGTTTGCCCTTCATGTGTAGAGAGAACTACAGATATGAATGACAGGAGTCCTGGGCCGAGCGGACCTATGGGCGGGTTCTCCTCCCTCACGTCCCTCCCCCGGCGTCTCTTCTTCTAGGCTTTTTTCAAATGTCCCGTCGACGGCGGGTCGAGGTGTCTCCGTGTTGTCTCAGTGTGAGAGATGAAGTTCATGAAAACTAATGAAATTACAGTAAGAAAGAAAAAAAAACATCTTAAGGTGATTTTTATTTATTTATTGTCTCTCTGATGGGGGGGGGGGGTTAGAGTCCGCCACCTTTTGATGCTGAGTTTCTCTGAGTGTGAAAATGAGAACATGGGGGGGAGGGGTTAACAGGAGTCAATTGTGTAAAAGTTCAACAAAAAACTAAAATATAAACATTTTTTGTTCTGTTTTTGTATTAAAATATGCTTGCAGTAAAACTCTGTTGTCTGTGGTTTGTTTTTGAGTTATGCATCGTAACTGAACACGACGTAGACGTGGGTTCCATAAACACTTTGTCTGGATTTATTTATTTCCATCCAGATGTATTTGGTTTAGTTTTTAGCCCTAAAAACATCAGTGAGCGTCGGGGACCTCGCAGCTGGATGCAGTCGGGACGGTTGGATGAGAACGTGAGTATCTGATCAGTTTCTTTGTTTGTTTTTTTTAAATAATAATTTAATTGT